CAGGAATGGGCTGTTGTCAAAGAACTACTCAGCAAATCCATTTTCTGGAGTAGACTACATCTAGAAAGTCATCAGAGCAAAGGACTAGTTGATGCTTTCATGTGTACCTGAAGTGACTCAGGGGTAACTCCTTTTTATTTAATAACAGCAGCAGCAATGGAAGTGGAGCTGCTGCCAATTTATACGAGTGTGGGAGGAAGAAGAATTCAATGAACTGAAATGAGATCAGAGGTCAGTGGAATTACCCTTTGATTTATTTTGATGTGAGAGAAGAAACTGGTTCTGCCTCCATTGAGAAAATGCTGATAAAAAGCTGAAAATGCAACAGCTTGGAAATTGCTAAGAAATTAATTGTTTTTATCCATCCAAATCTTCATGTACACAAGCAAAGTCTAAAGAACAAAAAACCCTGCAGTTGTAACACATTGCCTTTTTCAAAGCAAGCTATTACCTGCTCTTTACACGCTTCCAAAGACTGCATGCGAGACAAGGGACAAAGGCCACAGATACACATTTACAAGTGGGTTAACTTTTCAATCCATTTTTTCATTTCAATAGAAATAATAAATCACCTTATCCTGGAGAAAGAAGCAGCTTGACACAAAACATACGGTGCTGGGCTATTTTTATAGCACACCTAAGACATATAGGGATTCATTTATTTACTCAGCTATTTAAAAGTGGCTACTCTTACTCATTCTCTGGACAGCTAAATGCCAGGTTGCTAAGTTACTGTTACTTGACATCATCTCCTCCCCAACGTGTTCCCACATTTGACAGGTTCACATGATTTACTAGGCCAGTCGGCTCGTTATTCACTTGTCCAATGACGTCTGGATAATCATTTTAAATTCACATCATGTCCTCCCCAGCAAGTCCCCAGATTCCACATGAAAAATATTTAAAGTGCCTGTCAGCTACTAAGTGCATTTGTAACCACACTGGACAGCGTACCTGTATTTTTCAAATTACAATTATTATAATTAGGTTTAGCACCATTCTTCAATGTTGGTTTGTATTTTAGGAGAGAAAAACAATTACTGAGGGGCAAATAATGGGCTCTATCTGTTATAGTCCAATTTTGCTCTGTGAACAGCTCACCTCAGCTATGGATGATACATATTAAATCTGTTAGTGCTTTCAATTGGCATGAGGAAGGTAATACTACACATAATTTGTCCAGTCAAGGGCATTTTCACCTGCTGATCAATTTACATATTCTCCAATGTCATTAAACATGAGCTTGTCATCAGAAGAACAGAAGACCATACAAATTACAGACTTGCTCATTTAACTCCACTCATTTTTATACTTATTACAATCCAAATTATATTTATGATATGTTTTTCTTCCAGACTAGAAAGCTTTAAATTAATATCATAGCTGTCCACATAACATCAGAAGTCCATCTAGTTACTTGATACCTTGCTACAGAGAATATGCGCCTACAGGAATTCTTTTGTTCCTCTAAGCAGGGACATTTTTTAGACAAAAGTGCCTGCCCAGATGGTTAGCAACACACACAAAAGTTTTATGTGTACAGACCAGAGTCTCACTTTTGCAGGATTATGTCTAATTGATTGCCCAAAGTTTGAATACACACTACAAGTCCTCAATAAAAATGTAGTTAAATAAAATTCCCTTTTTTCCTCATGTAATGCTGCATGCTTATCACCTCTTTACCTAGAGGTAAACCAATGCTGAGATAGGTCCTTTCGGTGCTCTCTATAGGCAGAAAAAGGATTGCTGCTAGCTCAAACCCCTTCTCACACCTACACACACCCCTGTGCCAGCACGACAGTTCTCATAACCTGCAATGACAGCAACATACGCTGATGCAAAGCACTGGTACAAGTGCAAACAGCTTCAGAGTACAGGTTTAAAATGTCAGTTCTCCCACCTTGTCTGCACTTCGCATCACAACATTTCAATGAACTCATTTTAAAGGCTGCTCATAGCAAGTGATAAATTAATTTAAATCCATGCTAATAAAATGTGAATTAGACACACACACACTGTTGATTGCTTATCTTCCACGTTATCCATACTTTACAAGCCATTATGTTGGCTTAAAAAAAATGAACCACATTTTGGAACATAAGAAAGTGTACTTATCACCAGTGTATTCATCTTCCAGTTTGGTGTTATCAATCTGTATTAAATGCAAATCTCATGTACCACCTTTACAGCTTGGATTTTTTAATTATTATTAATATTTTTAACACCCTTCTCACAGCCATCCTGGTTAGAAAAGCAAAATCAACAGGAGACTGGTCTGCCATTAACCTTTGTCTGTACTATCAGGAACAGTCCTTAAAGCACTTACACAGGATGACATAAGTGGCTAAGTGTTTCAGGAAATCTGAAGAATTATGAAATTTTGTCTCTGAAGACTCAGGGGTCCAAATGGAAGTCTGAGTGGAAGTGTGAAAGTATCTGCCAGGGCTGGGAACTTAATCTAGATTCTCCAAATACAAATGACTGTTGAAAACAAGGGTCATCCTTTCCTCTGGAGCAGACGGCCTGAATGCCCTGACATGGGGCTTCCATAGGGAGCCCAAACACTTGATTTTGACCACTGATTGACATCACAAGCTCTTACTTATTTTCTCTCCGTTGCCTATCAAGTAAAATATGATACTCTACATGCATTCAAAACACATTTTCTCCTATCTTATTTGACATTGTAAATTTGAGAACAAAGTAATGGACAGAACTCAAATACTTCAACTTCCACATGTGCTTCAGCACTATATGAAGCTGAAAGCCTAAAATGCTGCCACTGAAGGGAACCAGTTGGGACTGAGGCTTGCTTGGCTTTTGATGGGCAGCCCCAGAAGCCATTCTGTGATCTGCTGCTTTCACTGACTCAGGGTCTTGATGGCAGCCAAAAACCTGCTTGCAGACAGGTTACAAGAAGGCTGCAGACAGCCTGTCAGTTCCCAGCACTGCCTAACACCACACCAAAAGCATACTAAGCCACCCTCATCGTATAAGCACCCAAACCTACCCAGCTGCACATATGGGGAGGAAGTGTGCACCCCAAACAAATCATGGCTGAGGTTCCATGCTCACCTGCGGCGTGCTGAGCACAGGTGGTTTCATACACTCAAGAAGCTCTCTGGCTATGCCTGTGGCTATAGCTGACAGGTTTGCCCCATGGCTGGATGGCAAGTCTGGACACGGGGGCTGCTTCCAGGCACCTGCACCCAGCAGTCAAGAAAGATCTGTTGGCTTATATCCCTTTTTTGGGTGCCCATTACATGCTCTTGTGAGCCAGATCCCCAGAGACATGGAAACCTGCTGAATCTCTGCTCTGTCTAGCCCAAGAGTCCTCCCAGTTTTAACAGCTGAGTGGTGGCAGGAGATGCTGATGTGGCTGCAGGGACTCTGCAGTTCATCCCCATCCTCTGAAGACAAGAGACAGTCATGCACCATTCTCAGAAGGTTTCAGAAGAAGCCTGGGATATTCTGCCTTTGTTTATTTACTCAAATTACAGTCATGGAGTAGGAAATAGGATCACCTCCTCTTGATTAGAAAAAAGACATTTCTGCTACTTGTGATTTATATGCACTGTTCCCACATTAAAACTGTCACCTGGATGACTGATCCCTGAAATTTGCTACATCACATTTCCTTTTGATGCTGTTTACAGAAAACAACTGCTTTCCCCAGCTAACAAGTAATTCATTCTAACTATAGTAATGAAGTTAATTGAAATATATAAACAGGGAAAGAAGACCTTTTAAATGTGCCAGGTATTTCACAAAGTTTTTCAGCATTTTCTTTGCTTTTGCTCCCTTAGTGTTCAATGGGTAATAAACCCCTGCTCACTTTGAAGGTTGAAACTAAATGTTATTTATTTCCTTCCATTCATTGCTGCTGGGTGCACATACGGATGCACACCCCTCTGTTACTGCAGGTCTGCATGTGCACTCTTGCCTGCTGGTTCAACATACTTCTGCAGCAACACTGCCAACCCAAAAGGACACTGATAACATCCCAAGATAATGTATGTACCCAAGACAGGAACAAGTTTCCTAAACTATTTAACTCTGTATTGCAATGAATACTGAGAAGCCTATTTTATAAGTAAGAATAACTCTACGTCTTTGCAAGCAAGATGGCCTGATTGATATACATTCTTTCAGGTCGAGATTAGTTTGCACCAGTTGTTCCTAGTGATAAGGACATGGCTGGCACAAATTCCCACTGAAATTTGATCCCCTCTACACCAAGAACCAAGAACCAGCAGGTTTGGCTGGCAATCCCAGGGAGGTAGCTGTGACAGATGGGAAACTCAGCCCACAAGGATAAAAATTTAAATTCCAAACAGGGTCTGGTGGGTTGTAAAAGTGCCCCCAGACAAATCTCACTGCTACACCAAAATTGGGTTGTCTGAAGAAAAACCCATCTTACACTTAGAGTAAGGCAGATGTACACATAGACAATTTGTGCACACTCCCCATTTTCTTGTTACATGATCTTGCTGAAACTAAACTATGCTCAGTTTGCAGTGGATGTTTTAATTTTCTGTATTCAACCACAGACCAAAACTACAGCAAAAAATGTCTGCAGGTCTTTAACAAAACCATGAAAGATGAGCAACTGTAGTCTGGAGGAAAAAGAAGGAATACTGTAGGTCAGTCTGTGAGTGGAAAAAATAAGGTGACTCCATCTCAGGGGAGGAGAGAAATGCGTCCTGGAGAGACTCATGGAGACTGAGAGCTTAAAAAAACAACAGGAATGTGTGTAAATCCTCACTGAGACAGACTGACAGATGCAGAGCATTAGGTGAACTGACCTTACTCACTAAGAAGAGCCCTGGCCCTACCAGTTGCCTGTATCTTTTTAATACAGACCCATTAATATGCTGTTTACCTACAGTGCTAAAGACAGCTATATAACCCTTCTCCATGAAAGATGAAACAGCAGCACTGCCATTATACAAAAGATACACAAGCAAGGGGTATTACTCACCCGTAATATTTCTTCCACACAGCTGGAGTCATTGGGAAGGGTAACCTAGGTTTAAAGAAAAATAGAAATGTTTAGTCAGGTGCTGGATGCAAAGTTCAGCAACTACAACTACACAGGTGAACAGCTAACAAGCAGCTGCCTCTGATGAGTGTTATATCCACATTTGCTGCCTACCAAATTTACCAGTTCAGATCAACATAAATGATCAGCAGGACCCATTTTGTCAAAAGTTGTTTTTTTCTTCCATGCTGCTTTGTGCTACTAACAACACTTTTGAAGCAATAAAGTACTCTGATTTCCTCACAGTTGAGAACTGGCACTAGAATTGCCTGAAACTTCTGTAATTGAAGAAGATCCCACTGTTACTCCTATCGGCAGCCTTCAGAGAGAAGGCAAGGTTTGGTTTAACTTGCAGCCTGCTGCAGCGAGGGACAGAGGTGATAACAGTTAGGAGAAAGCTGTTATCATCAACTATCTTATCCTACAGCTTAATAGGCTAACAGCCAAGACAGCTCTTAAACATATACTGTAGTAAAATACTGGTTGGACTATAAGGGTGGCTGCTGATTTTGTTGTTCCTCACTTCACTTGCCTGTTGCAGGTTAAGTATCCTCTGAAGACTGAAGAGGACACAGGAATTCACCTCAAGAGGCTTGACAGATATTCCTTCTCCCTTTAGAAAGATGTGATGTGCCCATACACACAACCATAACCCCCACACACATAGTAGTGCCCTTAATGTCTTCCAATTTAAAACACTAATTTAAATATTTGTAGCATTTACAACAATTCCTCATTCCAAGGTCATGAAAGAGCACAAAGTCTCTAAATTCCACAAATAACGACCTGAACAGGCAGACATGACCTGTACAACCGTTTTGTAGCACTTGCAGGTAGTTATGATGGGTCCTTATCATGAGGGTACAGCTGAAGAGACAATATTCTGGAAGGTACCAGACACAGGTGAGTACTTCATACCATAACTATTCAGTGAGGCTTTTCTGCCTGGCACTTCTACCTTATTGCCTTTGGTAACTACTTTGGTAAAACAGACTCATGATTAAACTTAATCCCTGTCATCCTAACCTGTTTGACCAAATGCACTGACCATGCCTTTCCTCCTATAATTAAGCCAGCACAGAGCTTCAAGAATAAATCCACACAGCTACAGAAGTAAAAAACCAGAAAGACCTACTAGATCATCAAGTTCATGCTCTGCTAATGTAGCACATTTCCCCCACATCTTCCAGAATTGCAGCTACTCTGACCAAAAACCTGTGGGAAAATGGGTCTCCCGGGAGCAGTGTTGTAAACTATTTGGCCCTTTTTTGGTGGTAACTGTTAAAATTTTACTTTTGGTGTCACCCTAGTCTTTCTGTAGAGCTCTTCTCACTAGTCTAAGTAATCAATTACTTCCCTTCACACTTAAACCATGCACACATATGCAGAATTATACTCCTCTTTTCTCAAATGCTGTATGTTCACCTTTCACCTTCTTTCCTGATAAGCAAGATTTGCCATTCCTTTAGTTTACTTCATCATTCTTCTCTGAATTTCCAGTAGTTCATCAATATCTTGGTAAGTAAGTACTCAAGCGAATATGAATACACTGCAGGGATATTAGTGATTTCTATCTACTTCAGCAACTCTAGATTATAATTTTCCATTTTATCACTTAAAAACATCCAACTGATCAAAAAAAGGGCCTTACCTTTTACCTGCATTTCTATTCAGCTCAAATTCTACCTAACAAACCTAGACCGAGAACTTCCAGTGGATAGTCAGCAGTGAGTGCAATAGGCATACAATCCACCCTCATACAGCATGACTTGATATTCCAACACTTCATTGGCCTTTCTTCATCCTCTTACTTTTCACTGAAATAACTATTTCCCCCCTCAATAATCTGTGATTATTAGTAATCTTTCCCCTCTTTGTTAATCTGTGTTTTCCATACCTCATACCTACTCTCCATTCAGCAAGGAATATAGCTAACTTTAAGAAAAAGATGAGCGAGCATGGGTATTACTGCACTGTGCAGTGGGATACATGTGTCTCTCACACACTCTTGTTTTTTTTCATTGAAAAATCAGGATGTCAAAATACAAGAAAACAAAACAAATACTCCCCCAGTAAGCCTGCAGTGTACACACCAACCAAAAAATCTCTCACAGCAGTAACAGGAGCAGCCCAAAATCCAGGTGAGTGACTCAAACTGGGAAGACTGAGCGCAGCAGAGATACAGAAGTCTTCTCTTTATTTAACACCCCTCTCTGCCATTACACATGTCATTTTCAATGGTTAGCTGAGATACCATATTTGTTTAGAAATGCCTTAATTGTGATAATTGTGTCCCTGACTATTAACACAAGGCAGAACATGTTCTTACTTGTTTCACAGTCCTCTCCCAATTCACAGTGCTGTGTAAGTTTATGTTGCTTCAGAACTAATGATGATAATAACAATAAACATACCATTTTACTTTAATAAAGCCCACTATATATCATGCAATCACAACCAGCTTCTGCTGGCAGCACTCGCTAATAACTTCAAATACTCATGCATGAATTTAATTGTGTTAATGACAAAGAAGATTTTAATGGCTTGACAGAACTTTTGTTCCCTTTGGCATTGCTTTGTTTTGAATCACTGATATTAAAGTAATGCAAGATGTCAAAGTGCTGTGATTGTCATATAGGGTGATCCAAGTAGGAGCTTGCACAAAGAGGAAAACATTTAGATTGATGCAAACATTAAAAGAATAATTATTACAACATGGCTATCAGAGAGAAGATCAATGTAACAGTCTTTCAGTACATTACTATTAATGGATTTCTAAAGAAATGAGACCATTTTTCTAAATTCATGCTACAGTTGTACATTCTAAGAGATTTGAAAGGCACAGATCTATTAGAAACTTAGTCTATCCTGGAGAAAAAAACCAAAACAAACAAAAACCGACCAACCAACAAAACCCAAAACAACAATGAAACAAAAAATTCCCACAAAAAAAAAAAAGCCTCTCAGATTTTCAAAAAGTTAATCTAAAATTGCAGCTGCAGCTGTAATTGCCCACTAACACTTGCATTCAGGTAACAAGTGCAAGCAGGCCCACATGGCACACCATGGCATCCAAGCATAGATTCATCAGGACAGAACGAAACAGAGCAGATATAATATTCATCACCTTCTTGAGTTCTAGTGCCATAACAAATTGTTATTAGAATTGCTATTAATACAAAATGCCACATTTTCCCTCTAGTTTAGTCAAGATTAGACATCCATCCCATACTACTACTTGCCTAATCTAATAAAAGTCAAGTAGTTTAGGACCCATTATGTGATTCTCCACCCCCTCTCCGCTTCAGTATTAAGATTCTTAAAAGGAGGGCACAGCCTGCATTGGTGCATACTTCTGGTGTGTTACTTCCATTGTGAGCAGTGTGGTCTAACTCAGCTGAAAGGGCAGATTCCAGGAATTCAGCTTCCATAAGACCAAGTGGTTACATTTCAAATCATGAGCTCTTCTTCCAGCCAGCAGCACTTTTGTGAACCCCAGACTGAAGAACAGTGAATATTACATAAGCTGCAGGCAGACATCCTGACATAATAAAACTTCCAACAAAACAAACAGATTTCACAACAGTTCCATGCTACACTGAACTGATCTTCCAATTTCATTTTAATCAGGCAAAACCCTTTTGCATCAAAATGCTTTGTGTTTACTTTCAAACATTGCTTGCCAGATTTCACAACAGTTCCATGCTACACTGAACTGATCTTCCAATTTCATTTTAATCAGGCAAAACCCTTTTGCATCAAAATGCTTTGTGTTTACTTTCAAACATTGCTTGCAAAAAAAAAAAAAAAAAAAAAAAAAAGGAAGAAAACATGAAAGGTGAGACAGTCAAACATTCCACCTAATACAAATGAGTATTGTAAGGCTCTTCATATTTTGGTCTCACAAAACAGAGATCAGAACTTAAATTATGTGGAACCAAAGGTTTAATGTATGGCTTGGATGGCTCAGTGCTAAACTTTAAAGGGAGGGAAGGAGGGCAGAAATCTAAGAGTGAGGGAATAGTATCCTTTAATGTTTGGTAGATCAAATGACTTTGGGTGAATGGTTACAATATCTGATATCATGTTGATCTAACCTTCCATTTATTCATCCAATAGTTTCTTGACCACTCTTACCTCCTGGACAATTTATAACCTGTATGAGAGCAGATTTTGTTTTTTGCAGCACAGAATCATATAAAGTCTCTTTTCCCTGTAATTGGCAGACGACAGCAGGCATTTCTCAGAAATGTTAGCAACAAAACCTTCCAACAGACTTGTCAGAATAGTTCTGAAAATTCAAATGCAGTGTCAGGAAGCAGAAACACACAATGAGTAACATCTTTGCCAGAAATGACCGACTACATTTTCATCTGGATAAGCTGTTTGTGAACAATCCCTCTGGCTTTACTGATGCACAACTGGCACTCAACAAGTAACCTCTTCTTTCTGTCTTTGTGTTATTGGAAAGATAAATGTAGCATGCTAAATGAATGTAGGAACCCACTCTTGTTTCCTCCATACGAGCACCTATGTGCTTATACATCAAGAGCTCAGCTTTCATTGTCATCTCCTTTATCAAGGAACCCATTTTGACTCTGGGGAGATGAAGCTCATACTACTGTTTACTCCTTCAAACACAAATTGATTTTTCACTTGCTAGCATGAACAGACCCTGTGCACGAGCCTTGATTGATCATTTCCAGTGTGCACTACACAGTGGTAAGAGGAAAACACTCAGAAAAACAGAAACAGCAAAAACAGGACTGTCAGCAGAAACCTTGTCCTACGAATGCCTTCAGCTTCTGTCAGGCTTCCTGTTTGCACAGAGTGCCTCTTTTTTTGATTAATACAAGTGAGAAATGATTGGGCGGTACTAAGAATAGCAGGGTTTTCAGATACAAGACACTGGACTAGATGACCTTTGAACATCCATCCTTTCAACTCACATGAACCTATAATTCAATTTTTGCAAATCTAAGAAG